ACCGCGGGTCAACGTTTGGTTTACGGGCCGCTGTTGTTTGAACGCGCTGACGACAAAAAGCAGACAAGTTTGAAAGAGCAGACGACAGTTCGAACGCATGCGAAATGGATGGCGGGCAAGAAGCACCGCGTCCCGCGTCCACAAACCTTTGGAATGTTACGTTGTCGGCTTCTGTGTGAGTCTGCATACTCTTTTTCGCGCCGGAATCGTCGAATCTATGTCCCCATAGCAATGTCTTACCACTTTAATCGCCTGAGCGAAACTATCAAGGCTCGTTACACCGCTAAACTTTGCGTAAATAATTTGACTCGCGGCGATTCATTCGCGTGAACGCCACAGAATGGACGCCAAAACCACAATGAGAATCTTCTAGATATTTTCGGTCGCGACGTCGCTCGTGCTGCAAAAGTGTAGAAGGTAGCGGCGATGATCGACGTCGATACTGAAATTCGGAAGCGGAAACAGACCAAGCGTAACAAGTCGGTGATGGCCACTGGTACCAATGATCAACATCTTGTATGTACTGTTTACACCGAGCCTACTTAAGTCGTTTGAGGCCTGCAGTTTTTTCTTATTGCAATCACCGGGTCTAAGTTTGGTCTACGGGCCGCTTTTGTTTGAACGAGCAGACGACAAAAAGCAGACAAGTTCAAAAGAGCAGACGAAAGTTCGAACGATCAGGCGGCCGTGTGAATTTGAAGACGCACTGAACCCGCGGGGGGCCCGGACAACTTGGCGGTTTCCTCTCGTTCATGTTGGAACAAAACAAATATATCTGGCGACCATAAAGTGTTGCCCGCACAAGCAATCGCAGTTCGACAGCGTCTGGTTTACCCTTTTCACGGCTACTATCCACCTATTCGGACGAACGGAGCGGGCAGAAACACATGAAAACTGATCTCAAACCTTTCCAAACTCTTTTGGCACAGCCCCCGTCGCAGCATTTTGACGAGAACGCAGGTTTTTTGTCTGGTTTCTCCGAAAAGAACACAAGAATGCATGTCTCGCACGGCGACTTCTGCCCACCGCCCCAGACCGGAAGTGCGTTCGACGCGCCACCACCGCGGCGTGACGTAGGAGAGTTGAGATGGTGTATACGCAATAAACAGTCTCCAAGCGGCGGACGTAGCTACGTGCAGAGGTACGTACAGTGCGCCGCAATATGAAAGACCCACTGTGAGCGGGTGGCCGAGGCGGTGACTGGCGGGGGTGTTGCGAGCGGTGGCATCAATTCGTCGAACGACGTTTCATGGACAAATCGTTTCGTCGACACTGCGATGTTTCATCGACAGATCGTTTCGTGGAAACGAGCGGGTGCTCGTTTCATCGACAGTTGTTGCGACGTTTCGTCGACAGCTCGTTCTGCAAGCTCCGCCAGCTGCGCCTCCTCGCGCGGCCTTGTGTTGGATGGATGGATGGATGGAAGATGGCCGACTGGGCCAAGTATGGCGAACCAGTGCGCAGCCATCTTGCCTCACCAATTTAAACTATCAAATTTTTTTTTTGCTTATTCTTTTTTTTTTTTTGGGGGGGGGGGGGGGGGGCGCTTGCCGATTGCACTGATTTCGGAACTTACGATTTGAATGGTTTCGCTCGTGTCTTTGCCCGAACCTTTGGGGAAGCGTTGTCGAAGCCGGGAAGTTTTGTTATCGACCAGTGTCCTTTCTCAAATTAGATTTTTAAAACATTCAACAATATGCGCAGCTCTTGAGGGCTACGCTTTCGGCAATATACGTGATCGAGGTGTCTGTACGTCATCGAATGCAACCCTTCGCGGGCTGGCCGCCGGCACTCCGACTGTTTTGAAAAAGTGGCTGGGTCATTTCCAGAGCAAGCGTATCTTTCCGCGCGTCGCGTCTTTTGGCAGAACACTCAAGAGCCACCTGAACAAAGCATAGATAGTCCACACGTCAAAACACTCAAGCTCTTAAAGAAAATTTGAAAGAATAAACGAGGCCTGTTTGCGGTGCACACAGCCTTCCTAGCCTTCCTACCGTTCAAAATGGCATAAAATCGGTTTTCAAGCTAATTGGCATCTGGTCTTAGCCGCTAGCAATAAACTTTGAAGGAGACAGAGCATTTTCCTACGCGTGGTTTACTTTTACGGTGATAAAACACGGTTGTTTTCTCCTCCAAACACTGGGTATTCAACGTACTGTACTTAGCAGACCGCAAACGATATTTAGTCTTTAGCATATTTAGCTTCTGGATAATGAATAACACAATAGTTCTCCATATGTTATGCCTGTACTCAAATTTTGCATGCAGATAAGCCAATATGTGACCAAAGAACATTAGATTTGGAAGCCGCTCTTTTATGAAAAGAGCTACGAACGTGCCCCAGGTGTCTGTCTGCTGATATTGAATAAAATCACAATTGAATGTCGCGTGTGGCTGTTGCCGACAGATTTCATCTAGTGGCACTACCGCCTCCAAGTCGACCACCACCCCCCCCCCCCCCCCCCCCCCTCCGCCCCTACCCGCCCGCCCTCTTGCCCGCAACAAGAACCTGGCTACGTGCCGGAGTTCTTTAACATAATTGAGTGTTGACAGACGGAAAGTTGTCTACAATACGTTCTAAGATACATTCGTACTGCTACTGAAGAGCAGCCATGCATTTATTGAATGAACTGATATTTGGATTTCAGATGCATTATACAAAATGGTTCAGGAACTGGTTGTAAAGGCCAACCTGCCGTTCTCCTTCGTGGAACAGAGGAGTTTCAGGCATTTGATGCAGTGCGGATTCCCTGGCCGTCACGTGGTGAGTCGACCCAAGTTGATGAGCGAAACCAGTAAGGATGCGGCTGAGGCGAAGGAAGTGATAGGAAAAAGCTTGGCGATCTTCAGTATGTTTCCTCTACTGCGAACTGCTGGTCACTTCTTAAGAGGTAACTGTCGTGGTTACTCTTCATTATGCGGTATTCTCAGTGCCATCATTTATTTTGGTGTCTCAAGGAGTTACCTTGGGGTGACAGCACATGGGATCGACCCAGACACGCTGGAAAGGTGTTCTTTTGTGCTGGGCTGTCGTTGTATTCGAGGAAGGCACAAATTCGATGCTCTTGCATCTACGTTAGAAGGCGTATACACAGAGTACGATATCCTCCACAAACTAACCTGTACGACAACGGATAGCGGCTCCAATTTCATAAAGGCTTTCAGGTGAAGATGAAATCTTTTATATTTTTTTACTAGAAAATTCGAACAATTTCGCCAGAATAGATGTTTATTTTTTATTTTATACAGCCATTTTGGGGGGCAGTATGAAGACTACATAGACACATCATCGGAGAGTGAGATAGAGGAGGAAATCTGTGCGCCTGTTCCAATTTATAACGTCCGCGAAGATCGTGACCAATCTGATGGGGTCTACTCACTTCCTCACCACCAGCGCTGTGTGTGCCATATGCTGAATCTGATCGCAACGAAGGTAAATAGGCGAACACTTACAGCGGCAATCGGTTGATGATACTTCTAATTCTGCAGGACCTGGAGAACGCTGAAGAATCGTCGCCGCAGCTGAAGAAGCAAATAAGGCAGACTTTCAGCAAGTGCTTGGCATTATGGAAGAATCGAGCAAGGTCTAATCTGGTTGCTGACGCCGTCTCTTCAAGCTGTGAAGGGTATTTGCCCACGCCTGTCCTCACGTGGTCGAACTCTACATACGATTGCCTCAAATCGCTTCACGGAATGCTTGTTCACAGTGAGGGTAAGTTGAAATAAGTTTCTGAGAATTTTAAAATTCCGCAATCCACGAAGTCAGACATTGACTTTATTTATGAGTATGTTCAGGTGTTTACACCTCTGGCACAAGCTATAACTCTTCTCCAGCGCGAAAACAGCATGTTCATGGCATATCTCCCGCCTACAGTGGCTTCACTTCGCAAAAAAATGTCCGCGTTGCTGACGAATAACTTGTGGCACTGCCGCCCGGTGGTCGAGAGCTTAATCGCGGCGATCAATAAGAAGTTTGCTGGTATGAAGGAAGAAAAACATTTGATAATATCTGCCATATGCCATCCAAAATTTAAGGTTGAATGGATAGACAACGAAGTGGAACGGAAGCGGGTCTGGGATTATATAAAGAACGAACTTATGCGAACATCAACTATAGAAAAAGCGACGTGAGGCCAAAAAAGTGGTGAGGATGAAGACTGTGAGCACTTCTTTAACTTCGAAACATCGTCCTCATCTGCTTCATGGGAGGAGGAGTTTGTACAGTACACCGAACTTGCTCCGCCAAGAAGTCAGGACTGTCTCAAGCACATGCCGCTGTTGAAAAGCGTGTTTTTAAAATTCAACACAGGGCTTCCAAGCACTGCGGCGGTGGAGCGCGTTTTTCCATAGGAGGAACAATTGCTACCAGACTGCGATCGAAGATGTCGGATGAATATTTCGAAGAAGTTCTGACTCTGAGGCCAAATTGAGCACTCAAGTGAAAAAGAAAGTCTTCGAATGCTCTGGTGAAAGCGTTTTGCCTTATTTCTCCCATTGACACCAATAAAGCACGTTTATCAAACTTGTTTTTGTATACACCCCAGTATACAAAGGATTTACTTCCAATAATAATATGACAAATTTGAGAAAAATGCTTGACGTGAAAATAAAAAGTACCTTTGATGTAACTGTACCTGTACCTAGGTACATTTTTAAGCGAGTAACAAGATACGCACTAGGTACCTTTTCGTATGAGTAACTTAACTGTTTCTTAGGTACATTTTTGAAGTAACTTTACAACCCTGTTTATGACGTACGTCCAGTTCGGCGAACTTCTTCCGATTGCCACCCTCCCGGCGGGTGTGGGCAGAAGTTATTCTGCTTTTAAATAAATATGATTAATATCAATTAAATATAGAATTAAATTAAATTAATTAAATAGCTTCATTCTTAAATAACGATGAAGTTATTTCGAAGGCATGGCGAGCTTTGAAGCTTGTTATCGTAACTTTCTCTTTCACTCTTTCAACGTGTCTGGGCGCGCTTTCTCTCTCTCCGAACCCGCGCCAGCCGAGTGCAGCTGTAGCCTCCACCGTGGTAAGGAGAAACTAGCGCCACAAGTCGCAAGTGGCAGAAAGTACGGCGTGAGACTGAAAAAAGTAAATCAGTCAGTCAGTCAAATGGGCCAAAACTTTTTTTAAAACAGGGCGGGCATTTGTAGGAGGAGTGCCTCTGGTATCGTGAATAAAATAAAATCAAATAAAATATTAGGAGACCGCCAGATGGCGCCACCAATGTCGTTGGCGTGCGCAGGCGCGGCAGGCGCCCTCCGGCCCTCCTCCTCCCCCTCTCTCTGCTCTTCTCTCTCTCCCTCCCGCTCCTTTTTTTTTTAATATATTTTTTTTTTCGGTTTGTTTTCCTCGTTTGCTCGATCGGTGTCGCGCTGGCCGCTGCGAGCGGCCAGCGCGGCACCGGTCGAGCAGACGAGCCGCGCGCGCTACACTTCGCAACAAATGCGCTCCGCGAGATATTAATTACCAGTGCAATGAAACAAAAACAGCACGTTCATTGAAATGTATATTTTATTGAACACCGTTCAAATTAGTTGCAGTATTCCAAGCACGTATTTACAAACTCCGTCGGCAGTCCACCGCCCCTTGAGCGGAACCAAGAACTGTAGTAGGCAGTAAACGTTATCAAATATGTAAAAAACAAATTAACTGCTTTAATGTACAAACTAACAGAACAGATCTTATAATCGAATTATCTAAATGCGTCTATAAACAACTCCTACAAACAAAAATGCTGAATACCCAAACAAACTAATCAACTCCGATATAAAGCAGGCTTGCATTTTAATTTAATTAACGCAGGATTGCAGGCGAGCTCCATAAGAATAAACGATAAATAAACCATAAACAAACTCGCTAATTGGCAACGCAAAGAAGAAAAAAAAAATCTTCTGGAGTGACTGATTGTGGGCGCTTTTAGGTACTCTATCCTAGAAGCTGTCAAATTAACTAAAGACTCTGACAGCAACTCACTTGGAGGAACCAGTCCTTGCAGCAACGGATTCGTAACAAAAACGGTGAGGCACGTGTTTTTCCGCAAACGAATCTTCCTACATTTTGCAAACGCGGTTGCACCGGCGTGCTTGCTGCACAGACGACACAGACGCAGCTTGCTCACCGGCAGGCTTCCAAAGTCCTGGCGCTTTGCATACGCAATCCATTTCGATGCTGTAATGGAAAGATTGAGAGATCATATATTTCAATGCTTCCAGTTTCGAACGTTGACAAAAAAGTTTGATATAAAGGCTCACCCGCCGTTTGTTGGAAACCGGAAGAATAAGCACTCCGAGTTCTTTTGAAGAACTGTTACTCCACTTGGCCGCGCAGTAGACTCCGTAATACGCCGTCATGAGGCACGCAACCCACTCGGCAGAATCTCTGTCAAACTAGAGACGTCTCTAATCCCTCTAACCATTTTCTGAGCGCAGACGCGCAGCTCCGTACTGCGTAAAATCTACACTTTCGATTTTCGATTTCAATACGCGCGGAACGGTTTGAAAGCTTGGAGTGACGAGCTCAAACAAAAAGAAGACAAAAACGGTCGTTTGCCCTCACACTGAAGGTTGGCGATTGGTCGGAAGAGCCCAGAGTGCTTCAGTTTTGGTAGCGAAGATCCTATTCACGACGCCAGCGCTCAAAAGTACAGCGGCGAAACAGTCTGGCGTGAGACTGTTGGCTAGACCAACGAATCTGCTCTTTGGGTGGACGTACGAGAGAGAAGCCAGCGACGCGGCGCCCCAATCGGCCCAACCGGGAACTCCGTTAGCTGCATTCGGCTGCCCGCGCCTCGCGCCTCGAGACGCGGTGGCCTCTGGCGCCGTGAAGTCGGTGGACCGTTAGAACGCGCAAGGGACGGCGAGCTCGCGAACTGTTTCGCTTCTGGGAATACGTCGAGGCCGAGATTCGTGCCACGTTCGTGCGCGCGCAGTTTTCTTTTCTTTTCTTGTGGTAACTCGTTGTTTTTTGTAATATGGTCAAGCATAGATTTCCGTCATCACCACACCACCTGCTGTGCCAAGTGAGGAAACATTTACTGCCAAAAGCCGGGACACTAATGGTTTTGAAGTTTCGAGTTCCAATGGACATGAGGTACACTCTTTTTGGTCTTCTCCTTTTGCTTAAGTTTCTGATTAGATGTGTGCAACAGAACCTAACTGTCGCAGTGGTAGTGAATATTAATGGTTTGATTTCGGCAATAGCTGCGATGGTTTCAAATCGCAAAACCAAATCCTATCATTGTTTAGGATTCCCCTCGTTCACTCGCCGCGAGAAATATGTCATTGTCAAATAACTGGTCACTTCTATGCAATCTCAAGATCGAGCACACATGCTCACTTCAAGAATGGTAAACTTTATCCAGTGAGTTGTTTATTTGGGATTGTTTTCAGCGATGCACGCGTCTGTTCGCGAGGAGTGAGAATGAGCCTAAATATTTTTTGATTAACTGAGGATGAGCGATGAAGCGACCCGTACTGGTTTCCCGTTTTGTTTAGCAGTGACGCACTTTTAAATTTCAGTGATAATATTAAAAACTAATACAGGTTATCGATGAAGACTCGATACCAAACAGCTGAGCTTCTGTTTTTCCTAACCTCATTGCTTAGTGTCTTTTAGTTGCAAGACACCGTCGTCCGTCCTTACTCACGATTACTTATATAATCGAATTCAAAATGATTGTCAATTTAGCGTGGAACTCAAGGGGAGAGGGAAAAACGGAGGAGACACGAGTATTTAGTGTCGCTGTGTTGAATTTGAAGTACCTTTTTTGTTTAAAGGATCGAGGCGCAGAAAATGCTCGCTGTTTTCATATGACCATGTCGGTCACGTACAGGCCAATCAAGCAAGTAATTCAACTTTTTTTTCTAGGCTCCACGCCTGTGGCCGAACGGCGCAAGGCTTGTGAGTATGCGCAAGAAGCTCGAAAAGAATCACGAACCTACAGAGAGTTTATATAAATTTAGCGAAGTGTTTTTGCAAGGACGCATATCATCACCTTCGTCGCATGTGACCTTAACGTTTTATACTGTTTTGTTGTTCATTTCTTTGATTCTTGTGTGCAAAATAGTGAAAAATTTCTTCTGTATTTTGTACTTCCTGTTGAATAAAAATGAAAACAAAAGAACAAGCTTTGCATTTTTTTTTCAAGCACTATGGGGCTGCCGTGCGGTTTCGGTTTCGGTTTCGCTGTGCCGCCATGTTGATTTTCGTACGGCCTCCGGATACCAGGGGATTCAACTGGCGCTGCGGACTCCCAGGGTTTACCAATTCGCCTTCCATGGGCACTATAGGACGTTGCACTCCTCTGGTGGCACTGCATTATGCTGAATCGTGAGCTTCTTCCCTGTTGAAGTCCTTTTCCTGGTACCACCCCCGGTGACGAACTCGACCTGTTGAAACTTATTGCGTCCGTCATTTTGGAGTACGCAACAGTTACCTCGCTGCTCTGGTTTCGGTTATAAAAGCAAGGCAAAAAGCTCGTACTTCCCGCCCTCAGTACACGTTGGACATCTTCCAGACTTTGACACTGGATAACTGGATGAACGAGGATTTACATTTACTTCAGAGGTCACTCTCGCCGCTTCCCCACCTTTGACCAGGAGGATCAGCTGGCGACAAGCCGCCGATGAAAGGCTTGAGCATCAACAGCCCAAGTGCACTCGGTGCCGATGCGGGCGATGCGGATTTCTGTCAATTGGCAGTCCAGCACAAGCCGTAGCCGTTCCAGCTTTTCGTCATGACACCGTGTTGCAGAGAGCAGGGTAAAATACAACCATACGGACCACCGAAGCAAACGCACTGCTATCGTAAATCTTGGCTTGTGATTGCGCTTTTGTAGATCATCCTCTTTGTTTTGCTGGAGATGAAAACGACGTGTGCATAACAATATCGCTTGCATATTCCGCATACCTCGCAAAAGCATATACCCAGTCACCTTGCGAAAAGCGCGAAACGCGGAGTCAGCACCGTCTGGACTTCCCCTGTCTTTTACCTGTTTTAGAGCAGTGTGTACCCGCAAGTAGGCATGCCTACTGAAACGGAAACTTGAAACTAGGGGCGGTGCCAGAGAGTAAAGGGACAAAGTTAGGAAAGCTTGCTCGATCTCTCCAATTTCTCAACTCTCAAGTGATTGTACCCTAATAAATGCACCAACACCTCTTTCCAAAATAAAAAAAGCACTATATTTCCGCGCGCAGGGCTGAGAAAGCAACGCTCGATCCTGAACCTCCAGAAAGTTCTCGTTTATTCATGTACCGCACGTAACTTCTATCATTTATCCCTGCTTTTGTTTTCTAGAAAGTGCGTGTTCATTCTCGCCCCGATCACGCGACGCTCGAGCCGCTTTCGCCGAATCTTCGAGATAGCGACGCACTCAAGATAAGAAGCCGCCCGTGACCTTTTCGAGTCAGTTTCGCCCCAGCGTTCGAACTTGCTGCTTCGCCGCCTTCGACGCCCGCGACGCTCTGTTGTTATCTTTCTTTCTTCTTTTACTTTTTGGGCACAAGTTCGCCCGATTAAACGTTCAGTTTACTCCGTTATTCGCCGCCTCATCACTTGTCCTTCGTGACAATATTCATTACGTAAAAAATGGTCTCAGCTAATGCATATGTGGGCAGGTAGGAAATCTTGCCCTAATTTATTCACACCGCATGATGAGCGTAAGAAACTCACACGAGATTACAGGAAAATATCGGTGGTGCCTTAAGTTTCCCTGAAAATCTGTTAACCGGTCGTTTGCATGACAGAATCATCTACTCGAGCGGTCTGCGCCGCTGTGCAAAAATGTCGCTGTGCAAACGCAGTTCAACACGAAGCATAAAAACGGCAGATCTAGGACGACGATCCGAAGTCCATTGTTCAATTAAAACAACGTTATTTTGTTGAAAACGCCCGCAGCTTTGTGCTCACGGTATGTGTCGGGATGCTTCCACATTTTGAAACAGAACGAAAGAAGATTTAGTTTTAAAGACGCTCGCTGCGTCCTCCCGGACCACGGCCCGTTTTCTCGAACGCGAACCGTGGTTTAAAGTTAACTATTGTCCCTAGAAGGGGGAATTCTAGGTCACGTGACTTGGAGAGCAGGGGCGCCGAGGAAAGAGCAGGACCTAGATGCAAAATGGCCGTGGCGTCGCTCAACGAGGGCTAATAATTCTGCTTGGTTCTCCTCAACATTCATTTCGATCCGGCTGTTAATAATGACGCACCATCAGCCTATTAGCACGTCAAGCAAAGCGTACTTCAGAGGGACTACTAAACTAACCGACGGCAGCATTCCGCGAGCGCATCACTCTTCAGCAGTCCGGGATCCAAGACATAGTATGACGGTACATAAGCCTTGCAAGTGTTTTTATGGTGAGTAAAAAAGTGTTTTGCGAACGAGTGTTGGTATATATTTATTCTAACACGTTTAATTTGTTACACTATGCATGCCAACTCGTGAGCAGCGATTACTTTGCGGAGAAAGGGGGTTATCCACGATAAAGTCTTCATTCCTGGTGAACAGCTGGGACATTATACTGTTTTTTTTTTGTTCGCAGTGCGCCGACAGTATGCCGACAGCATCGAGGTTTCTACATATCCCCGGTGGCCAGCGATTCAACGGTGACGACAAGCTTAGCTTCTCGTCACCGGTGGATCGGTTGGGCAAATGGAAGAGAGGGCAAACAGTTGAGATCAGCAGGAATCGCAGAAACGTGCGTTGCGAGGAACAAAAACGAGACTATATACAGCACCGGTGTTGCCAGACTGAAAGGAACACGGGAAAGTTATGCGTTGTTTATAGCGAAACATATTGAAGGAAATGTTTTTTTTAGATTTTCGAATATTCGTCGACAAACTATGGCATAGTAGCTAAAATTTCTTCGTAGCATCGGAAGCAAATAAATTGGTCTTCAAGTACAACATTACTGTATTTTGACTTAAAATACCATACTAGATCGATAACAACCAGCGGAAAAAGAGGATAAACAAAATGACTGGTTTGTTTCACCGATAGATGGCGCATCTTATTGCCCAATCAAAAATAATTATTGTTGCTCTATATCCAGCCGTTTATTAGAGTACCTAGGTACTTTTTCCTTCCTAGGCACCGTGGTTTACCAAAATGGGTTTACCATCGCTTCGAGAAAACCGGCCCAGCTGGACCGGATCAGCTGACGACGACGGGACTGAACCCATTGAAGCTCAACACCACAACAACCAACTTGCGCTCCGTGTTAGTGTGGGTTTCTACCTCCAAGGGCACCGCACCTCACACCACGAACGTGGTGTGAGGTGCGGTGCCCTTTTTTTTTTTGCATCGCCGTGTTGCACCAAAAACAGAACGAGATCGCCGAAGTCAACGCTGCGCTGTCGTGAACCTTGGCTTGTGGTTGCGCACTCGTGGACCCTGTGACTCCCTTCGCT